AAACGTTGAAATTATAAGGAAAAAGAAAATGTAAAAGCTGTGACAGACGGCAAAGCTTATGCATATAATCTGGCACACATATGCACATAATAATTTTGACCTAACAGACGGCAGTTATGTGGATAAACGAGCCGCAAGGTCGTGGGTTCGAGTCCCACGGCCAATTGAATTTTCATTTATTTCGTTTTCATTTTATAAGTTCTATATTTTTTTACGTTGCTTTCAGTTAGTTGTTGTTGACTTTTTATTAAAATTCAACTCTAAAAATTTAAATTAACTAATAGTAAAATAAAAAATGCGATATAAAATAAAGCAAATGAAAATAAAATAAAGTAAAGTTAAATATATAGATCAAATAAAATTTAAAAAATATAAAATAAATAATAAAAAATAAAAATTTTTCGCAATCGCTCCAACCGAGGATCGAACCGGCACCTTGAAATTGTGCATATGGAAACTGTGCATACGAAATAATGCATATGAAAAAAACCGAAATAATGCATACGAAAAAATACGAAATAATGCATATATGCACAGTTTCGGCTGAAAACCGAAATATTGCATATGAAAAAACCCGAAATAATGCATATATGCACAGTTTCGGTAGAAAACCGGTATATATAGTATCAACCTGGCATCCATCGACAAAAGAAGAGATGCAGTAATTTGAGAATACTGCTAGGGTGGTAACAGTTGAGCGTCCAGGGATAAAACCATGTTGGGAAATATATATAAACGGCTTAATTGCAAAAGTCATTTTAGTACTAACAGCTTTTTAAAACAATTTAGCAAAGTTAGTGAGTTTAGAAATAGGTCTGTAGTTGGAAATTTGGCATTTATCACCTGCTTTGAAAACAGGAGTAAACAATTAAATTTTTAAACTACGGATGTTGTTGTTGTAGCGACATTTCATTTTCGTCAAATTCAACTAACGGGAGGCCCAGGAAACGAGTTGTTTCAATAGGGTCGGACCAGAGGGAGAGGGGTGCTAGCTGAGTCGGATTGAGCTGTCACGTGAAGAGGTGGTTGGTGTCGTGAGGGGATTCTCCATGCCGGGCACTCATTGGGGATATTGGGGTCGAGTCTGGACAGGTAGCTGTTGAGGCGGCTACAGTATCCAGACCGTAATTGAGCCAGGGTAACGCGGGTCTCTCTTGGCAGTTGAAACTCCGTCTCTTCTGCAGGTGGTGATTGGGCTCCTATTACGGCATTCATAGGTCGAGAGTCAAGGTAGGTGGTGACTGACTCTCTATGGATGTCGTTAATGGTTCGTCTGTATGTCCTCGGGTCCAGTGGTTGGTTTACGTATTGCTGGACTGCGACCTTGTATACGAATAGGTGCCCCCTGACGTGCCTGGGCGGAGGCTCCTCCTGAAGCAGAGGTCTGTTTGGGTGTTCGCTTCTGTGATACCCCACCAGAAATTGCTTACAAAGCATTTTGTTGTGTTCCCTTACGAGGAGCAGTTGGGCCTCGCTGTGTATGTGGTGCTCAGGCGTCATCAGAAGGCATCCAGTCGCTGTCCGGAGTGCGGCGTTCTGACAAGTTGGTGTGCCATCGACGTGTATTCCTAATTCTAGCCTGACCTCCTTCGTCCAGGTGGTGAAGTGGTGCGCTGTTGATTTCGTTGGGGAGAGTGTTAGGCTCATTGCAGTGAAGAAGCGAGAAAGGCTGGAGAGATAGTCATTTACTTTTGAGCAGAGGTCATCAATTCCATTCCCAGACGCCAAAATCGAGCAATCGTCAGCGTATGAGATCAGAGAAACTCCATCAGGTGGCTGGGGAAGCTTCGAGATGTAGAAGTTAAATAATAAGGGGGAGAGAACACCACCTTGTGGAACCCCTTGTTTAATTCTTCTTGGTTTCGAGGTTTGATCTCGGAAGATTACTGACGACTGTCGACCACTCATATAATTCGCCGACCATCGCTTGAGTCCCTGTGGGAGTGAGGATGCCTCGATGTCTTCTAGCAGCGTGGATTGGCAGACGGTGTCAAACGCCTTTGACAAGTCCAGCGCTACTAGGACCGTTCTCCCACAGGAGCGGCTTCGATTTAGGCCACGAGTTATTTGGGTGTTTATGGCGTTAAGTGCTGTTGCTGTGCTATGCACTTTACGGAATCCGTGCTGGTGCTTCGTGGGGTCAGGTGGCAGGTGAAGTATGGGAGTAGCAGGACCTCAAGTGTCTTTGCGACCGGGGAAAGTAGCGTTATCGGGCGATAAGGGTCTCCTTTGTTGGCGGGCTTCCCCGGTTTCAGCAGTGGGACCACTCCCTGATTTCCACACATCAGGAATGATGAGAGTGGCCATAGACAGGTTGAGGACCTCCGTTTGGTAAGCTACACCCTTAGGCCCCAAATGTTTCAGCATCAACATACAGATTCCGTCGGGTCCAATGGCTTTGGAGGCTTTCGCCTTCCCGATAGCCCCGTTCACTTCACAGCTGGTGAAAATAAGTGGTGCACTGTTTTTTGGCAGCTTGTGCAGCCTTCTGGTCACTCGACGTTTGGCCCTGTCTACCGAAGTATGCAGTGTGAATTGCCTACTGGAGTAGGTTGCGCATTTCTTCGGGTCCAACGAAGCGCGACCTTCGAATGAGATTTCTATCATCACGCTTCGTTGGGTTAGACAAGGGCCTCATGGTTGACCAGAGCTTACTCACACTAGATGTGAAGTTACACGCCGTCAAGTGCACCTCCCACTTATTCCGCTTGTGCTGATTTACCAGTTGCCGAATCTCCAAATCAAGGTTCCTCAGACGAGGGTCGCCGGGATCGACCTGGCGTAGATGGTCACGCTCATTTGCTAGAACAGCTGCTTCGGGAAATTCGGGCGGACTTCCGCGATACGTCCGGTCGGGATGAAGCGAGCCGCTGCGGCAGTGACTATCCTGCGGAATTGGCGTTCGCCAGCATGTATGTTTGTGGGTGTGGGAAGGGAAGCGAAGCTGCTCTCGGTAACTTCCGCGAAGCCGTCCCAATCAGCTTTGTTAAAGTTGGTGTAGGTTCGGTGGTCCGCGGGAGTAAAGTCGGTGGGCTTATTGATCGAGATGATTATGGGTAGATGGTCTGATGCTAGTGTCAGCATAGGTCGCCATGATATGCTATTGATCAGACCAGCGCTAGCAATTGTGAGGTCTGGCGAGCTGCTGCAGCTACCCACATTCCTGGTGGAGGCATCGTGGTTCATGGTGCAGAATGTCGAATCGTCTATCTGCTCAGCCAAAAGGTTTCCCCTACGATCATTGGCCAGGCTTGAGTGCCATAGATCGTGGTGCGCGTTGAAGTCACCTACTACCATTCGGTTTTCACCTCTGAGTAGCGCACCTATGTCAGGGTGATATCCTGCCGAGCAGCAGGTGACGGGGTATATAGACGTTAAATGTTTCGAGCTCGACATCGCCTGACCGGACAGCTATGCCCTGACATTCTAGGGTGGTGTCCCTCAGGTCGATGTCTTCTTCGATAAGCCGAAACTGCACTGTGTGGTGTAGGATGAACGCTAATCCGCCAACATTATCGCGCTCGCGATCTTTACGGAGCACATTGTAGGCGGCGCAAACCAACAGAGTTGCTGTGTCACTCCATAAAGACTACTATCTCCTCAATCTTACTCTGGAGTCCGTTGCAGTTGAGTTGTAGGAGTTTCGTATGCCTTGGGAGGCTAGTCGCGATACGGGGGTTGAGGGAGGAGTGAGGTCTGTTGTTGTTGTTGTAGCGGCTACTAAGCCCCGTTCGGGGCGGTTCATCCATCAAAGTTGTCGTCTATTTCAGCTAGGAGGAGTGAGGTCTACCTTGGGCCTGTTGTATCTGACGCGCTTGCTGTTGCTGCCTGTTGGTAGGTGGCTGCAATAAGGGCGCTGTTGTCTGTGTTAGCGGTGCTCTACAGCATGGGGCACTGAAGTTCGCAGTCCACTCGCGCATGGTGTGTAGGCCAGAGCATAGGTGGAAGTGACACCAGCCAAGGCATGAGTTGCACTTGACCGATATCACGTTTCGGTATATTCTGCTCTGGCATAAGGAGCAGGTAGTATGTGCAACCAGGAGCTGCTGGTTGGCACGCACGCGCGAGTTGGACGGGCCGGTAGACTGTGGGGGAGGGGGGGGTTGGGAGGTTTGCTGCTGCCCAGAGGAGCTTCTCGGAGCCGTGCAGGCTCTTCGGGTGTTGGGTGCATTGCGCGAGCGGGTAGCCGTGGAGGCTGATTGTGCCGTTTGGCTTGAGCAGCAGGGAGCCACATAGCTTGTGGTCCACTCCCGTGAGACCTAAGACCAGAGCAGGTTCTTGGGTGACTACATGCGTTGCATGAGTTGCCCCTAACCGAAGAGGAGTTCGGATGGAGTCGATTCTGGCAAACACAGCAGAAATATGTTTCTGGTCCGGGCTTGGGTTCAACGCCCGCCCGGAGAAGAAGGATGTGGAGCAAACCGGCTGCAAGGAGTTACTCCATGAACAAACAATGTCGTGGGAATGTTTTTAAACTACGGATAATTCGCACTGCTTGATTCTACGTTCTACACCCCTCTTTTTTTAACATTAATTGTAAGCCAAATAGCTTTAAAATACTTATCTACATTTTTTATTTAAATTACATTTTGTACAATTATATATGCACGTACATATACTAAAGAATAACTTGAAATTGTTTATTACTTCAACACATACATATCATTCTTCCATTGCATCCGGCTGTTATACAGTCAAAATAGAGGACTCCTTTGCTTGGGCGGACTGTTTTAATTGGTCGTTATCATCTTTTACAAATCTGTGATACTCGTCACCGTTTTCTACGCCGCCGGCAGCGGTTTCGAGTAATTCCAAACCTCCTTGGAGTTCCATTAAATTGTATGTTAAGTTTATTTCCCGCCGCAACACCCCTGCCAGTCTTATAAAATCTTTTCCCAATTCACCTGTAAATTCATGGAAGGTTCCGGCATATACATCCAGCAAAGTCGCTGCCACATCAATCATTGTTCGCATGAATCGATGTTCACCAATGNTTATCGTCAGTCATACAGAAGACGGAAAGCTTGGCTTCTGTCGTGGAAATTCGTTTGGCAAAAATAACAAATTTCACCATAAATGGAGATTGTCATATGAATATAGCTTCGGTGTCTTTTCATCACGGATATTGTGATCCACTTTCATCGAAGTCAGCCGGCGCTGTTTGTTAGCATTACGTTTTGGTTTCGCTTCTTTATTGCGATCTATTTCCATATTTTGTATTGAAATAAGCCCGTCTACCATACCCGCCACAACAGTTTGATCTCCCGGCGCAACTCCAAGACTCAGCACGGCGTTGGGGAAATCAAGCGTGTGCACAGTTTGGTATGTTGCGACATCATAGATCTTGACATGACGATCCAAGCTCCCAGAAAGTATACGCTTCCCATTGGAACCGAGACGTAGACTTGTAATGGTTTTGTGGTGTTGTGATACTTTCGTTAAAAGTCGACATCCAGCGAAAGCATCCCACACACGCATTTCTGTACCACCTGCGCTGATAAATATACCACCCGTTGGCAGAAACAGCAAAGATTCAACTGGGCTCCCATGATCAATACTGAACGAAACGTTTTGTGTACGTGTGTCATACATCTTAATTTTACCGTCGTAACCACCGGATATTAATGTGTCTGGTGACATGGGATTTACCGCGCCAGCGCGCACATAATCCTCATGCTCTGCAAAAGTAAGCGTAGTTTTCTCAGTCCCAATGTCCCATAATTTAACCGTACGATCATCCGAGAAACTAGCTATATGCAGTAGATCCTGTGTAAATTGTGCGCGGTGTACCGGCGCTTTGTGTCCCTTAAAAAGACGCAAAACATTTTTGCTGGACGAATCGAAGAGTTTGAGAAAGCCTTGCTCATCGCCAGCTACAAGCAGACGGCCATCCTGTCGAAATGTACCTCCGTAAGCAGTTTCTTGAAAGCGGGACAAATTTTTCACCACCAATTTTGTGATAGGGTTGTAAACTTGCACACGCACTGAGCAAGTCACAGCGAAATAATGAGGCTCTATCGGACTGAAGTCCACATAGTCAATGGCGCCGAATTCTTTTACCAGAGTAGGTACCTGCAAAAACGAAATCCCATGATACATAAATACACAATTGTTTACATATTTTTATATATGGGATGATAAACTTACACTTAATTGCTTCCAGTATAGAGTATCCGGTGTTACGACCTTCCCGGTCTTGATGTACTTCTTTGTATTGAGCGGTTTAAATTGTGGCATTTTTTATGTTATCCAAATGGGGTTTATAGCAGATATTTGAGAAGTCTGTTGTATGAAAAACAGAAGTGCGAAATCAAAGCGGCATTTAATGTTTTGACTTTTTCATGCACGTGTTGTCATTTCACAAACAGTGTTGCTTTGTTGGAATGTACATATAAACATATAGGGAATTTTGCGCTTAAAACTGCAGTTTCACTTTGTGTGCATTTTGGCGGTGGTTTATTTTCAGTTTTTGGCGGTGGTTTTTAAGCGATTTTCTATAAATTTTTTGTTCAAATGTAATTATGGTTAGCACAAAAATGCGCTTAAAAATTGCTTTAATATTTTTCTTTATCGGGCAGGTTCTGAAATTTACTTCTGAGTGAAGTTCAACCACTGTCCATTCGAATTCAAAGCCAACTTGACTCAAATTCACTCGGAAGTGAATTGCAGAACCTGCCGGTGTGCTTCGTCTTCATATTCATTGTTTACTTTTGATTAATTTCAAAGAAAATAACATGGCACCGAAATTACAAGCCTCAGCCAGAAAATTGCGGTTTTATTTTGCTTCATCTTGTCAGATCTTGTGTAGTTGGATAATGCTTGGTACCATACGAGTTTTTTCTTCATATGAAAAATTTGATTATGTTTGAAAAATTATATATGTAATAGGTGCATTCTTTTGCAACCGAGCTACAAAAGAACCATCGCTTAAATTGCGAAATACACGCATAGCAAAAGTGTTGTTAAGTGAAAAAACTGCTCTATTTTGAATTAATAATGGGAAAGTAGAGAGGGAAATTTTTGTTTCTTATATACGTGTTTTATATTTTAAATAAGTATATACATATATTACGCAAATACCTCGCATAATTACAAATTTAAATTGTTTTTTGTATCTTAATCCCATTAAACTAATCACAAGTTTCTTGCCAGCTACTAACAGGGTTGCTTAGGTAGCTAAAAGGAAATTTGACCCGAGTTGAGCGTTCATTTGCCGCTCGCTCTCAAAAAAATGCAGCTAATACAAGAAAAATAAAAAATTAGGCAAGGTGCACATCCAT